ATCATTAGTTATTACACAATAAATAGCACAATCATCAACAAATAGTTTAATTGAAGAAGAAACCATCTAATGCAAGTCGTTAATATAGATCAAGAAAAATAAAGGCCCCAAAACTGATCCTTGGGGTACGCCGGAAGTGACGGGTGTGGAGAAGGAGTTCATGCCGTTACACGTTACAAATTGTGAGCGATTTATTAAAAACGATACCAACCAGTTAAACACGTTAGAATCAATGTTGAGTTTACTTAATTTATGCAATAAAAGTCAGTGGGATACCTTGTCGACGCCTTGGCAAAATGCAAGAATATGCAGTCCCCCTGAGATCTCTGATCAAATGCTGAAAGCAAATTGTTAGCTAATGATAGTAGCTGTGTTTCACAGGACAAAGATTTCCTAAGTTCATGTTGATTTGGGGAGAAAAATGAATTGGACTCTAGGAAGTTAACAAGTTGCGTATAAATTATACGTTCTAGAACTTTACAGGGAACGCTGGTTAGCAAGATGGGCCTATAGTTAATAGGAAAGTGCTTATCACCAGATTTATGCAGAGGAATAACTTTATCTATTTTCCAGTCGCAAGGTACTAATGATGTGTCAAGTGATTGCTGAAAAATATGGGTGAGAATTACAAAGGAGTACTGATTAGTATCTTTAAGAAATTTTGAGTTAATTTCGTCAACACCAGTTGCCAATGACAGCTTTAGGCCATTTATAATGCTCAGAACACCATCGGTGCTGATTGTGATAGGGTCCATCAGTGGGAAAGGAGCAACATTGTAGCTTGAATTCACATTGCTTAGAGTGCTAGAAAAAGATATAATAAACTCTTCCTGAAACATTGTGGCACATAAAGACTCATGGATTAAAGTTTCGTCGGGTGTTTTCAATAAAATAGACGAAGGCCTATCTCGATGGGACAACCGGTTCCAGAACTAACGCGGGTTATTTTTTAACATGGAAGGTAGGAGAAGAAGAAGTTGAACTTGACAGACGTTGGACTGAACAGCATTCTTGTAGCCCTGAGCAGCACTGAAATACTTCTGCCAGCGAACTGGGCAGGATGTGAGCCTCGGAGCTCTAGATAAACGCTTCTTTTTCTTTGACAATCTCAGGAGCACACTGTTGAAACACGGATAATTAGAGTTTACGATTATGGTTTTCAAAGATAACTATTTCTCATTGAGCTAAATCACCCTTTTCTTAAAGCGCGTCCAGTTGGAATGAACAGAGCATTCCGAGAAGTTACCCCAAAAAGCATATAAAAAAACTGCATAATTCAACATTAATGGCATCATAATTAGCTTTGCTGTAGTCCCAAATGACTTTTCTTTGGTTTTAATACAAATTTTAGGAACACTCAGGGTAAAATGTAATAAATGGTCACTGAGGCCAGGTAGGTATGTGATTGGACCATTCAGGTTGGGCATCGTAGTCAAAACAAGATCGAAAATGTTTGAAGTAGTGGCAGTTATTCTAGTTGTGCTTTGAACTAGCTGAGCAAGATGAAAATCAGAAAACTCACTTAAAAACTTCGCACAGTCTGCTGAAAATGAGTCAGAGTTGGGATCCCCCGGGCCCCAAACAATGCGAGAGTAATTAAAATCACCTATCAAAAGGAAGGGTGTGTTAGGAAAACGCGGTGTAATTACATTCAATGCATCGTAGTTTATCAGCAAAATCAAAGACATATGCAGGTGGACGATAACAGCATCCCAATACATATTTTTTTATGTTGAACGTTGATACACACCCAAATTATTTCTAGGGAGCTGTTAATATTAACAACAAACGGTGGTATACTCTTAATGACTCCAATTAGCACGCCTCCGCTTGTTTGCAACTCCCTCTACTGCCGAAAGGTAGCGAACTGTTTTTGCCCTAGGAATAATTCGGTATCCCTGATTCTTGCCGAGAGCCACGTCTCGGTTAGCAGAATAAAGCTAGCATCGCAAGAGTCAATTGCAGAGCATAAATAATCACGTTTATGTATTAAGGTCCGTATATTTGTAGAAAGAATAGATAAGTTTGACAAGGAATGCAGGTGGTCACTAACCCTCTGCAATTGATAAATAGGAACGGAGGCGCCATCTGTTGCAGTAACTGTTGTGCCACGGCGTGGACCATTGTTGGAGGCATGAGGACGAAACAGTTCGTTGACGGTTCCCGATTCGCGGTCATAGACGTAACATTTTTCATTCAGATATAATTTGGTGTAGTTTAGCTTAAACGTTGTTCCATGCGATTTCCTGAACTCAATTAGCTTCCTTCGTGTCAAACGAGTCGAAAAATGAAAAAAAAAAATCCTCGCGGATACCAATATTCATAAATTTCAGTTTTGCCTTTAAAACCAGGACTTGCTCTTTCAATTTAAAAGAAGCGAATTTGACAATGATTGGCATACATTTACTAACAGTACACTGACCGAGCCTGTGAGCACGCACAATGTCCAATGACAAGTTAGTTTTACCATCAAAGCAGTCGGATAGAGCCTTGCTCATCTTTTGTTCGGATTGTGCCCACGTTTCCGCGCCGCTATCAGCAATTCCATAAAAAAAAAATGTTGTTTCGCCTTGATCTATGTTCTAAGTCATCTAACCGATCAAGCAGGGCACTATTTGTTTTTTCCGCTCTCCGATTTCCTGTCATAAGTCTTGTATCCCCTGTTCAAAGACGCTTGTCTTATTCTCGAAGGATGCGAGTCTTGCATCGATGTTTGTAACCTTCTCTTCAATAGCCCTTTATTTAATTTCACCAACGGAACTAATTAATGCTGTTTCAACAGCCTCAAACTCCTGTGACCGAGAATTGAGTTCAGTTAGTAAATGAAACATCTCTGCGAACTGCTGAGCTTGCTTCGCTGTCATGGGACCCGGGTTCGATCCAACATCCCCGCAGCAAAGCAGTGATCCAAAGGTGACAACACACGTTTCAATGCAATCTATTAGCGAAGACAGACGTTGTGGGCAGGACAGCAGCTGCAGAAAGTGGTCGTCGGACCGGTAACAGTGACTGTTGTGAAATAAGGTACGTGCCTGCACAAAGACGAAAGACAGCCTGGTAAGCTTGTTGCACGTCGTGCTGCTGCCGACCTGCCCACTGAAGAAGCTGCCGATGTTTCTGGTTATTGTAGTCTCAGTTGATGCCGTCGATGTCCCACCTGATCTTCCGATTAGCCATGACATCTGAGCTCTGTCTCCGCGGGACGCTTCGACGCGGGTAAACACACTCATATACGCCATAGATAGAGACGCGGAAGATGCTTTCACGTCACTTGATCTGAAGCAGAATTGAATGAATAAGGTGAAGGTTGAGTTTCATCTTTAAAAGAGGGAAATTCAACACGAGGAAGCAAGAACTAGACAAACCGTGGAGGTCTTAATGACAACCTTGCGCAGACTGGTGGATATGTGCGACTATAGACCACTTCATAAAGATCGGATCCGCGTTCGCATTGTCGTGGACCTTCTGGACAAGAAGTTGAGCGAAAAACTCCAGCTCGACGCTAAGCTCACTCTGCAAAGCGAGACAGCGTTAGCACGATCGTCGAAGACAGTTAAACGCCAGAAGATGGAGCTGCTAAGCAATAAGACACAGTACAGTGATCTCGAGGAGCTAAAAAAAAAGATATTCGAATGCGAACAGCAAGAAAAAACACCCCCTAAGTGCAGAGCACATCGCAGAATCAAGGGTATTCTAACACTTCCGCGTGGAAATGCCGACGGTGTGGCAGCTTCCAGAAGCACACAAAGAGCTCAATGCACTGGAAGAAACAAAAAGTGCAACGCCTGTAAGAAGGCAGGACACCTTGAGAATATCTGAACTTCCAAGCTTACAGCAACGTCTCCCACATCAAAGGACTATGAGCCTTGGTTTCAGGGACGTTTCCTTCGGCGAGCTAGTATACCGTGATAATGGGGAACCTTGGCACATTATGGCTAAGGTCAACAACGAGGAAAACGTTCAAAGTAGACACTGGGGCATATGTTACAGCCATTCCTCCTAGCGTGTACAGTTTTGGAGCAATGGCAACGCTCGAGCTAGCAGGGAAACATATTCACGGGTTTGGCAGTTTCTTCTTAAAAAAACCTGGGAAAATTCCAAGGCACAATTTCCTTTGAAGGGTCAAACAACGAGAGAAACTGTATACATATCGGAGCGACTCCGGCATCCTTTACTTGGTCGCCCGGCGATTTAGGCTGCAGAAGTACTGCCAAGCTTGAATCAGGTCAAGGCAGACAGCTAACTGGAGTAAGGTCAACTACTTACAAAGTACTCATAAGTGCTTCAATGACTGGAGAGAATGGAGGTACTTTACATGATTACACTCCCAGATGCTACGTCATTCGCCATCACGTACCAGCGGTGAGTACATTTCGCGCTCCTACCCGGTGTGGAGCTGATGCAAGACGTGGATGTCATCGTAAAAGTGGATCGCGCCACAGTCCGGTGCTCACGCACGGTAGTCGCCAAAAAGCAGGACTGTTCTCTCCAGATCTACGTGAACTACACACAGTTGAACTAGCATTTCGTGCTGGAACGTATCATCATGACGGTTGTTGAAGACAATCTCCCATGACTCGCAGGAGCGAGTCTTCAGTAAGCTAGATGCGAATGTTGGCTACTCGCAAGCACCACTGGTTTCAGAGTCAAGAGAGCTGACGACATTCATCACACCGTAAATGATTACAGTTCTAAGCACTACCGTTTGACTTTGCAACCGCGCTGGAATTTTTTTTCAGCATAAAATGTAGAGGATTTTAGAAGTAGTCCCGGGCCAATAATGGTACATGAATTACATTTCAGTTTTCGGACGGGACAAATCTGAATATGACCTAAATCTTGAACTGATACTCCACCGCCTCCACAACACACTGGGGTGACCTTGCATACTAACACGTGCGAGCTCTGCAAAAAACAAAACAAAAAAAACAAGCATTACGTTTTTCGTGCCACATCCCGGAGACAAGGAATTGCGGTGGACCCCAAGAAAACACGCAATCATGGCGGCTTCGAAAAACTTGGCAAAGCTGAGGTCTTTTCTGGGAATGGTGAACTATTTGGGGAAATGCCTACCGAACATCCACAGATGGCAGAGGAAACCAAGCCACTCCGAGATGTTCTACATGGGAATGCGAGGTGACTCTGGAGTTAAGCTTAAGGACAAACCTTTCAAAGAATTCAAATAACTTTTGTGTTAGACTCCAATTATCGCGTTTTCAGCCAAAACGCACACTGGACACTATCGCCGGGTGCTTCATCGTACGGACTTGGGGTTGTGATACTGCAGGAAGATAGTGACGGCACCAGACGTCCAGCAGCATACGCTTCGAAAGCCATGACTCCAACAAAGCAGAAATACGCTCAGGTCGAAAAAGAAGCTTTGGCGATCTTTGGGTCTTGTGAGCATATCCACACCTACTTGGTAGGACAGGGATTTCACGTTGAAACATTTCACAGGCCATTGGTACCGTTGTTGTTAACCAAATTTTTCGACAAGATGACGCCAACACTACAGCTGACGCGAAGACTCATTTTTTTAATACAACTTCACGATATCACACGTGCCGGGAAACTAGATGCACACCGCAGTTGTCCTGTACAGGAAACCTCTACCAACAGGACACCCAACAGACTATGCCGAAACGTTAGTCACGAGATGCTCACGGTGTACCCGCTTCCTGCGCCCGTCTCCTTTTTAGAAAGAGTGAGGTCAGAACTTAAGAAAACCCATGCAAGGCAGGGGTGTCCTATTGTGAAAAACAGTGACCTGCGATGTTGGTTCAAAGAAGGCGCGTAGCGCACATCCCGCATTCCTTGTAATATGGAAACAACTTTCTCTCCAATTAACTCTTAGATGTTTTGCAAAAGGACACAAAAAAGATTTTGGTTTTAACAACGCCCACTAGGTTTTTATTACTTATCAATACCTTTACCTGCACTGGAACCTATGCGACGGTCAGCTACACACATAATTGGTTGCCGACTGTTCACTAAACGCAGAAACTGCTCCCCACATTCTAGTAAACCCTACTCCGGTTTCACGCGCCTTGGGGACTGCGTAGCTCCTTCCGCTCGCCGGGGGTGGGCTCTGGACGTCGTTCAAACGGGTGACAGGCGTCAAGTTTGCGAAGACGTAGAGGCGTCATAGAGGGCAGAGCCGCGGTGCGTGTGTTGCTAGGATACGTTCCTCGCTTCCTATACTTCACTTCCATGACCTTTTTCTCGAAGATGTCCAACCTAGCGATCCAGGTCCCGTTCGCGTAGCGATTCAGCCGACCTCTGGGTCCTCGTGCCGAGTGCATTTTCACCGAAACCGGGTAATTTTCCAAGAAGGAATCTTTTAGCGACCACAGGCATGAAATAACGCGTGAGCATTGGTGCCCTGACAATCGCCTTTTGTTTGGCAACAAACTCAGTGGCGCCATCTATTGGGTAGCCCCAGTACACTTCCGGTTCACGTATATTTACTAATTTTTACTCATCATTTGTTTATCATAAGAGTGAATTAAGTCTGAGAGTGCTATAAGTGGCCATTTACAGAAGATAGCATGTATATTTGATTGCGCAAATGCTGCGAAACCCGCCGTCTAGTTCAGAACCGGAAGTGGTTGGAGGCTATTTGCACACTGGCGCCACCACGTCTCAACTCACGCGAGGAAGTGCAAACACATGCGCTGACCTGTGCCCGGTCTGACATTCGGAAACGCTGTCATCTGCGTTCCCAGCGAACTTCCAGAATACCTCGAGCACCGCCAAAGGGAGGTCGCACGTCAAGCCCTGGGATGCCACGGTCGGGTCAAATGAATTTGTGGAGGGTGACATTGGTTGGCCTTCTAAGCTGGGCTTCTACACGCGCGTCCCCGGTACATGGACGAAGGTCGCTTGGCTAGGCGTATTTTTGTATACATTCATCTCAAGAATGTAAACTCGAAGTGGAGGAAGCGTGTCACTCGGTTCGGCACAAAGTTTGGTATATTATCCTTGGATGTCGAACCCCAAACCAAAGGAGAATGGGTGAGTAAAGTGCGAGAATGGGTACAAGCTGTCGAGACCGAACGCTGGATAACAGGCATCAAGCAACATCCTACCAAGCACCTGTACGCGTCATTAAAGACTGAGATCGCCCCCTGACTCTCTGCGCAAGCACGCTGGGAAGCCGAGTATTTATCGAAGCCCGTAGCGGAGCCCTACGTACCCGACCTTACCGACGCTAGTCGCAGCGTGACGGATATGAGGTGAAGTGCGTGTGAAGAAGAAGAAGAGAGTATTCCCCATTTGCTACTGTCCTGCAAGGCGCTGTCACCAGCGCTTTTGTGAACTCTCGAATCGAGCAGGCACTTGGTTTCACCTGCTCTAAGCGGAGGCTTGAGTCCTGGTGGAAGTTGACGATGGCACGCGCCAAGTTGCTATGCTCCAAATTGAACTTGACAAGGCTTTTATCGTGTAAGCATGATGTTCTTTTTGATTTTCTATAACGCATAAATGTGGGCGAAGTTATTTTGAATGAAGCCAAAATGGCCTATAAAGACTGCGCCACGAGGCGCATTCTGTCATTCTGACAGAGCCGATTCACGTGCGAGTGTCCGTGCTACTGGGATGTCCCATGTCGCCTTTATTGTTTAACATGTATTTAGAGTTGTTCTGTTTAAGTGTCATTCATAGTGAGTACTGTCAATAATTTCGGCTGGAAAATTTCAATCAAAATCAAAGTTATGAGCTATGCGGACGACAGTGCAGTGTTTTGTGGCGATAAGTGAAGTGTTAGCGCCGCAGTTCTTTTTTTTGGTAAAATCTTTCTGTGAGGCTACGAGCAGAGCCGTATATAGAGAGAGTTTAGCCATACATTGGGAAGTATAGGAGGCAAATGAGGAGGCGCCATTGGTCGAAAGCGGGGTGGGCGTGTTTCAGGGCGTCTTGACAAATTCGAATATGGCCAGCCAGAAGCCGCGAATAATAACCTCTATGGCGGTGATCGCGAGAAACAAAATTTATAAATGTTTCGGAATAACTCTTGGTGACTGCAAATATGGTGCACGTGATTTTTCGATCACGGTTATGAAAAATAAAAATCTAGTAGAACGATCGACGCGATCCGTACGCCAGGCGCCGAGGGCAGGGAATCTGCCGTCCGAGCGGTCAGACTCAGTCCGAACAAAACAGAGTTCGAGCGATACATTTGATTCTTGCATATTTTTGCATGATCATAATCGTAACATCATGTGCACCATACTTTCAACCATGAAGAGTTACTACATTTAGCTCTCACGCGCTTATTGAAACTGCTTCTTGCTACCACCGCTAGGAGATTATTTTCGGCTTCTGGTTGGCCAAGAAAGCATGTCAAACCATACCTCTTCTATACTCACAAAGCCTGGCAGTTCGATGACGGAGCCATAGAGTGCCCGGTCGCAGACTTACAGCGCGAGGATCTGGTAGCACAGAGCATTTCTCGGGGAGTCTGGTATTCAGCGCACAGCTTTTGCAGCGGCGAGGACCCGAAACATGGTTTTCACACCTGCCGAGAAAAGAAGCGGTAGCCGAGGAACGCGAGAAGCACGAGCGGCATTCCATCGCTCGGGACAAGTGTGTTTCGGCGTCTCGCCGCAGCGGGGCGCCTGTTACATGACTCTTGTCTGCCGCTCTACCTTTTCACTTTCGGCGGCCGTGTCTTGTGGCGATCTGCCAGGCTTTGTCAGTAGTGAGGAGGTTTGGTCAAGCCCTCTCTACGTCTGGTGCACGCCCTGCCTCTGCCCGCTCCTCCCGTTGTCCAAACTCTCTCTATATACGGCTCTGGCTACGGGTGCAACCATAAACTGGAGTAAGTGCCGCGTGTTTTGGCACGATGCGTAGGCCACAACGCCTTCAGTGTGTGAAGGGGTGTCTCGGGATTGCGTGACCTACACATACCTCGGAGTGCCCCTACAATGTTACAGAGTGAACAAAACCTATTTGTCGGGAGATGCCACCGACCTGGGCACACGCGCTTCCCGCTGGAAACAGCGCAATTTTTTCATATTTTTCAGAGCGACTGTTTGCAATGTTTCTGGTAATTTCAAAGCTATGACATGTTCTGCAAGTCCTACACTCTGCACGCATCAATGTGCAGAGATTTCACAGCGTTTTTATGTGTACATTTTTAGATCAAATTGGGAGCGAAGTCGGCGAGACAATCTCTCCCACAGAATACATAACGGGGTCTTAAACTCTCCCACTTGTTCATTAAGAAACTAATCTCCCGTTTTGTTTTGTTTTTTTTCTGCGAGAGCAAGAGCACCCATTCATTCGGGCGTTCTTCCGAACAATTCTGGCACCTCACTTGCCGTGATTCTCTGTTTCGTCACATGGCGGTGAGCCAAAAAGCCTCGTGGTATATCAGAAAGAAGTCGTCGACGCAGTAGACGTTTTGTCTCCCCGTTTTTCTTTAGACTGCTTGTCTGTTGTGAGCACCCCTCTACCGAAGGGGAAGGGGGGCACTTTGGTAGGGGTCCCTACTTAGGAGGAGGGGAAAAGCAAATATCCCTACGGCGGCGGTTGACCGGCGCAGGGATGCCCTCGACTCCATCGACTCACTGGTGTCGCCCTTTCGTGACCCTTCGTGGGGTTGGGGTGGTGTCGGGCTCTGCTGGGTCCTTTCTCCCTGTCAATCGTTCCTGAATCGTTCTTTTGGCGAGGCCCAGTTTTTTTTTTTTTTCTTGCTTCAGTTTCCAATGTTTCTTTAGTGAAATTGCCACTTGATCCCAGGATCCAATTTGTTTTTATCGAATTGGCTTTAAATCGGTTGTGCCTACACTGGCGGTTCCGATCGAGGTACTTCATTTTTCAATCTTTTTACAAAACATCATCTTACCAAATGTCTGTTGCGAGCAAGAAGATGCTTACGCGTGATTTGGTGATCAGTTTGTTCACAACACCACTTTATAGAGCTGTCATCTGTCGCGATGGCCAGGATGTGGTACACTGGTCAAGAGGATGTGTGTCCCTCCCTCCATTAAAACTTTCTTTGTTAAGTTGCACACCAACACTTTGCCAGTCAAGGTGTGGCTCAGGGAAAAAAAGGAAGTTGTGCCATGGTCGGTTGACTGTCTTCTATTTAAAAAACCGGAAGCTCTAAAACACGTTTTTATCTTTTGCTGGGATGCAGTATTTTTTGGGGGACGTCTTCCAGCGTGCATTAAAGACTGAGATGTGTTTAGCCCGACCGGCATTCGCTTCTTGAACGTAACGAGTGACGAAAGCATTCCTTTTTATTTGTGTTGCTTGGGTTGTGTAGCATATGGAGGTCACGCATGGCGGTCCGCCAATCCGACCCCAATGCTAACGGGGTGAGATATTATTTTTTCAGCCTGATGAGGCGAGTGGAAAGTGTTCTTTCAAATTGTGAGTCGAAGCCGAAATGGCTAGGCCTTTGTGAACCTCTTCTTGAGATGAGAGGTTTTTAATGTGCTCTACAAAAAGTGTTGGAGATCATTTTTAAAGTGATTGGACTGTTGCATTTCGTTTTTGCAATAAAGAAAATAAAATCCTCTCGTGGCGCCAAAGGTGTCGGGCTGAGGATCGCGCGGTCCGGGGTTCGATTTCCAACGAGCCGCTTCGTAAATCTGGCTTGTTGCAATTAATTACGCCCAACTGTGAGTACGTATCACCAAGAGTGACTTGTCTTTAGATATTTAGGCATCGCCTGTGTATGCTTAATTCGTGCCTAATGGTGTCTTGTTTACAGGCTATCGGATCTCAGACTTCGTGCACTTGGAAAGCACGGACCTCCTGATCATCGTGCTCGTGTTGGCCGTCATCGGACTCCTCTTCTGCGCTTTCGTCGTGCTGTTAGGGCTCATCACCGTTGCCAACCGGTGAGCCACCGCTCGATCTGGCCCCATACGTCATATCGACGGGACTCGCATTCTCGGTTTCTTCAATTAACGCCAAAAAGTATTCACCATATATCTTGCTCAAAAATTGGCGGAAGCGAAACGGAACTCGATCGCTTCTCTGTTAAAGGGACCACACGACAATATTGTGTTTGAAGTTTCCTAACTGCATATCACGCAGTGGGATACAAGAGGGTTGCACATGAGGGTAAGTAGCCGGGAACGTCCCCGGTGAAATAACTGAAATAAGAGCTGGATATATGTATATTTTTTATAGCTCTTTCACTTTGCCGTGATTTTGCCTCGTCCGAACAGTTCCGGACGCGATAATGCCCGAGTCCCACTAGAGCGACAAACAGAAACAAACGACAACTACGATTCTCAAACCAGAGTCTTTCGCGATGTGACAGGCTTTGTAGAATAAAGTAGGCTATGCTCAAACACGAGCATCGTGCACGCGAGGGTATTTTTGGCAGGCTTGCAATCGCTCGTGCTTAACTTCACGAGCATCGAACGACTAAACGCCGGCCAAAAATACCATCGCAAGCATGCTGCATGTGTTTAAGGCTTGTCGCTGTCGTTTGGTTCTGTTTGTCGCTCTAGTGGGACTCGGGCATTAAGGATGCGGTCCCACGAGCGCTATCTTGAACAAGGCCGTAGTTCAAGCACCAGGGCGGCGATGCACGTCCGTTCGCGAGCTTAAGTGATCGAGCACGACACCGGTGTTCCTCCCCCTTCACGTCTATATCTTCTCTGCGGCCGCGTGACGTAGGTAACTTCTCCAAGTTTCGCGCTGTCATTCTTCTCATGGTCACCGCGGCCGTGTCTTTCGCGCTATCTTAGATACACAGCGTTTGCTACAAATGAAAGCCTCGATATATATATATGTATATATATATTTATATATTAATTTGAATTCTTACTGGCAACAGAACCGTCATTCTTCTTGTGTGGCGAATCGAATGTTGTCGTCTGTCCTTTTCTGTATACACCCCCCCCCCCCCCCCCCCAACACAGTGTTAAAAAACAAACCCGCTTTGCCCGCACCAGGTGTGCGCACTGCGCGTGCGCTGAAACCGAATTCGGGAGGAGGGAAGCGTCTGCCCATAACGCAGCGCCAACTTCAGCGCCACCGCAGTGGCGTGACGTCAGTGAGTTGAGTTGGTCTATACACAAATATAAAAGCCGAGATGCGTGCAGAAACCCTACCAAAACCAAAAGTGCTGGCAAGTGTGTTTTTAATCGGGTAGAACCTTTATTAGCATAGCGATGGGGACATGTAACACAAAATTGTATTGAGAATGCAATTTGTAATTCGCTCTAAGCAGTTGAGAAACTTCAACGTGCACCTTTATTTTATAATTAGAGATTTCAATCGTTTTTCTTCTTCAGAATGTAATTGTAGCCATAGCACTTTTCATACATTTTATTAAACCACATTGTTATGTTATTCTTTTTCTTGAGTCGAGTGTTGCGCACAAGAACTCACATGAGGAAGATATCTTCTAAGCAATGCGATCGTGCTTGTGCCACGCATGCCGTTGTACAGAACACTGGAGTGCCTGATATTTCTAGCTTTATTCTAATCTTAGTGATCACAGGAACTACAGTGTTCTGATATCGTTATGATCTGGTAGCGGATTTTCTTTTGGACCATCATAGTATGATGTGCTACACCTACAAGGAACTCCACGGGCATAGTCACAAACAAAATTATCGAAGTGGGAAACCTTTTTCTGCCTCCCCAGAATGGAACACCATTGGACGTGAGCTTCTATAGCAAACTACGGTTGCTAAAAAATGATTATTTGAAAATCGATAAATTGTTCAATCGAGGGTGTTTAGCCACTGCTACTTTGCAGCAGCTTACCAGAAGAGCAAGTGGCACACAAGGCTTCTTCTGTGTGGGCGTAGAACCGAAGCGTACTGACCAAATGGAGATAAATATTACAAAGTAATCGAAAAGCAATATTGCGGTAGCCAGGATTCGAGCTCCGGGTTTTCTCATAACCGAAAAGGTGTGTTTACCACTGCAACACTTCAATATTTTTTCAGACTGTACCACACCACTTTGTCATTCGGCATTTTCTATCTGTCTTACAAATTGTCCAAATACAAGTTGTTCTAGAGCAGCGGTTCTAAATATCTTGGCCGTTGCGGACACCCTGACTCAGAGGACATCAGGGACCTCCACTGAGTAAAATACTGATAACGAGAAAGACCACATAAAAGGGCACGCGAATATGGGCCAGAAAGGGTACTATATCTGCAGCTCTCCGGTTTACGGTATAGGTTCTTGATATGAATTGTCACTCGCCGTACACGATCTGTGTGAAAAGTTCTTTTGCATGTTGTAATCAAGGCGGCTGACGTCAAGTTTACTGGAAGAAAATCGAAGTCGTAAGTATGACTCAACATCATCAGGTTTTGTGACTTTTGTTTGATTTAAGCCAATGCAGAACACGTGGCTTCACGCTGGGAAGTCATCGAAAATGGCAGCAAGTCTTAGTACCTTCTCGCACATGTAAGGGTATTACGAAAGCACTTGCCCTCACAAATTGGTAAGGGGGCGTTGTGATAACACTCGTTGCAAAGATGTGCTGCAGGAAAGCTCAAGCAGCGCGTCATCTTGCAACGGCTTTTTCTCGAAATTAATGTATTATCCAGCCTGCGACGGCACAGAGATGGCGAAAGTATTCTCTCGTTCTTGCTTTCAAGGACTGAAATTGCTCTTGAAGCGCGGTCCTCAACCTTCTTGGCAGCTCCACTTCGGAGGGCTTGTCAAAATTATTCGGCTGGGGAGAGGAGCCTAAACCCTTGTTTTCCATCCGGCTGCTTTAAACATCAAGGTTCTTGATAATTGCATCGATCTTGTCATGCACACTGAACATTGTGACTGCTTTTCCCGTGAAAAGAGAGGTTCAGCTGGCCATTTCAGAGTCCTCGAATAAGCGCGGACCATATTGAACGCTTCCGAGGACCCTTGGGGGTCCGCGGACCACAGTTGGAGAACCGCTGTTTTGAGAGCCGCATGAACCCGCGTGGAACGCGGTACGATCTTTTTTTGGCATGTCGTGCTCGTTGTGTTCCAGATATCTTCTTACTGTTGGCCCCGTCACGTGTACATGCATTCTCTTTTGTTCATTTCCCACTTTCTTAGACATCAACGCCTCGGCGTATATGCACTAAAATGGTAATTTGAACTAAACAACAAGCATCGCAATGTTCTCCGGGAATATTTTAGATGACAGACATAACATATCAATATGCAGTAATGTAATTAAACATTTGGGTGCGTACAGTTCTTATTCCACGGTGCTACATTTGTTTCTTTTTGGCATTGAATCTTATGCGGAGCGGAAGTTCGTCTGCTTCTTGCACAGGCGTTGCGATGATGTTAAAACGCCGAGCTCTTATTGGCTGACTGAAAACAATAATTGGTAGACCTTAAGGCATCTAGTATTGAGGTTTGCTCACTATCTTTTCAATCAAACCAATCAGAGCTCGGCGTTGTTCCGACGTCACAGCAACGCCTGCGCAAGAAGCTGACGATTTCCGCTCCGCATAGGTTTCATTTACAAAATGATCAATTTATGCTTTTCTTGACAAAACACTGTAATCACCGTTGACTGTCCTTGAGATCTGCAATAACAGTTTCTTCAAGTTTTCTGTCTATCTCAGATGAGAAGATAGTTTTCGCTCTGGAGAGGAATGTCGACACTACGGATGCTTTGTGACTGGTCGGATGGTTTGAGCCAAGCCGGAGGTAACGTCCTATGTGCGTTGGCTTCCAGTAGTGAAAAAATCTCGAGTCCTTCATCTTTTCTCTTGATCAGTCGATCAAGGAGAGGCAGTGTGTTGTTTTCCCCGCATTCCATGGTAAACTGAATGGCGGGCTCGATGGAATTGAGGTGTTCGAAGACGCTGTTTATTTCTGACTTTTTTTAGGATACAGTGGCAGTCGTTGACGTAGCAGGGGAACACGTTAAGGCTTGCAAAGAAAAACTGCAGGGCACGTTGTTCAATGTCTTCCATAGTTAGGTTTGCCATGGTGACAGAAATTGATGCGCCCATTGCAGTTCCGCTTGTCTGCTTAAAGTGTTCTCCTTCAAAACTGAAGTATGTGCTGCTGAGACATAATTCGAGGGGTCGGCACAGTTTGTCCACATTGTCCCCTCGTTCAATGTATTGTCTTCCTCAAGGGCAGTTCTGGTCGTGGCGATTGCCAGCTGAAAGGAATGCTTGTGAAAAGAAAGACCACGTTGAAAGACACAAGGGTGTCTTCATTGTTGACCTTCATTTGCGAAACAAGTTCCACAAAGTGGCCAGCATTACGTACATAGATTTCTGTTTGTCCAGCGAGAGGGGAAATTGTGCGATGCAGATAGTTGGATAATTCTCGAAGCGGTGAGGTCGAGAAGCCTACTATGGGCCTCAGAAAAACGTTCTGCTTAAGAATCTTCGGGAGTCCATAGAAACCTGGCGTAAACCCGTTTTTGCAGATAAGCCGTAAATAGGGGTTCCTCAATTCTGGATGTTTCTTGAATATTTCGGCCAGGATCTTGTTTATTGTAATTTAAATTTGGGGTGTCGAATCCTTCTTAAGTTTTTTATATGTCAAACAGTTAAAAAGATTATGGACCTTGTTCTCGTAGGCCTCTCAATCCAGAACGACAGTCGAGTTGCCCTTATCCGCTGGTAATAGCACAATCGTTGTGTCTTCCCGAAGCTCCCCGAGTGCTGTTGCCTATTCCCGTGGTATGTTATGCTGGTGATGCTGCGGAAATTTGGATAGCACGCCAATCAGCTTTCGTCGGACTCTTTACCGATCACTTGCACTCTAAAAAATGCCTGCGCGTCCACTTACCCGCAAAACACTCAAAAAGCCAATCTCTGCGATCTACGAAATCACCTCAGCGAATGATGAGACGGAGCATCTGTTTAGACCTAAAAATTAAGTCTGCGCTGTAGCATTACGCAAT